TGGGGCCTAAGCTCCCGATGGATCCTAAATTGCAAGAGGGAACAGGCTAGGCTGAAGGATCCCCCTCCCCCAGTGCACAAATGCTATGTACCAGGCCCCTAGTTTTGTGTTTTTTTTAAGTATAGTTCAATCACAAGATTAACCTGGTTAGAAATGGTCATCCATTACCTATTGAAATAAACTAACAACTAATCTAGTATTCAACATCATCTAAGTTTCTTTCCCATCTCTCTTTCCCATGTCTTTTATCTCTATGCACAGAACCTCCCACTTAGATGTCACATTCTATATTTTGAGTCCCCGCTCTCTCTTAAATCTCTCAAGTACTTTGTATCTCTGTGACACCTATTTTCCTCTGCTTTCTTTGGTTAAATGTGTCTTATTCCTCCCACTCTCCCTATTAGATGTTAGAATGTTTTATACCAGCAATTGTATCTTGCTCATCTTTGTATTCCCTTTAACACCAAGTACCTGAGTAGATGTAAGGTAATCAGAAGAGTAATAAAAATAATACTAAATTGAATGGAGTTCAGTATTCAACATTTTCTTCCTATCTTCTTACTTCCTAAACAGTCACACCACAAAATTCCTACAGCAACATCTGAAGTAGCTGGCTAAAACAATGTGTCATCTGTACTGTTCACATTCAAATTGTTAAAAAAAAAAATGTAAAATTTGCAAAATTCTAAATATGGCTTATTTGTGCCACTTTCTTGGGACGTCATACATGCTCTAGTTTGCTTGTGTTTTCATTAAAACTGCTTTTTATTCAGCATGATTCCCAGATTAATTCTGGCTGTACTTGTACTTGAAAATATATTTGCATAAATTGGGTGTTAGTCTTATTAGTGGTTATTAGCTTTCAGCATCCAGGGTATGGTCACTCAATTCATGCAGTAAATATAATGAAACTGTTTCCACGTTGTTACCACAATGTAAATAGAGACAACAATGCAAGTCATCATCACACAGGCATAAGTCAGGGGCCAAATAACCTCTCCCACAGGAAAGATACAGCCCAGAGAAAAACTGAGTTGAGATGAACATTCCATTAACCCCATCACCTCTATGCCCCTTGGCTTTGTAGAAATACTCGGGAAGAATCTGGACAGCTCTGGAACTCTGACACTCCCAATGTGCAAAGGCAATAGGATGCAATTAGCACTGTGCATTTTTAATAGCTTACACGGCAGGGGAGAAATGTCTAAGAGGATATTTAAATTCAGCATAGAATTCTAGCAACCGCAATTTTAATTGCATACCAACTGCAAAATATTTCTCTCGTTGTCTAAATAAAAAGAAGGCTATAATACACGCTGTCTGCTTGGTTCAGGACTCAGTTATTAACCTTTAAGAATCTTTTTAATTTCTAGGATAAAAGCCTCACTCCCACAAATGCATCTTGAGACTGGGACTTAATTTTAAATCCCAACTCCTATTTTGGAGAACACTGAAACTTCAATCCCTGTCATGAAAATATCCTGAACAATATTTCAGACACAGGAATTTTAGGGCTTTTATGTATTTCTTTAACTTGGAGATAAAACATAATTTTTAAAAGTCACAAAAATGAAAAGCTACCTTCTCTAACACACAAACACACACGTTTAAAACATGCAAAATACACAACCTGAGTATTCCATAGCAGGTCATTGGAAGCATAAGCAAAGACTGGGTGGCTGTTTCCATAGCAATGTCTCTATATAGTTTAGCTCTTCTGGGAATTTAACCAAACCCCCAGTAGCAGGGGGGGGAAATCATCAGCAAAAATGCTGTAACATATGGCAGCTGCCAGCAAATCAGTGAGAGGAGAATGCTTTTATTTCCTCTCCCTTCCTCCTGGCAGGAGCACTTTCATGTCAGGTGATTTGAGGAAGCGCACAGACTTTGTTGGTCACTCAGCACTTAACTCAAAATTTAAAATACTAGGCTTCCTCCTTTTCTTAGGATAAACGAGTTGTTGGTGCCCAGCCAGGCCCAGCAGCACATGCATTCCAAGAGTGACATTGAGCCATGGGTAAGAGCTTCTTGTATCTTCCCATGATCTCATGTTATGACTCTTAAGTCAACTGAAGCTTCAGGGTTATCTCTTGATAAAGAATGCAAATGAGATTTTAATATCTATTTTGTTTTTGAAACCATTCTGTGTGTGTATGTGTGGTGTGTGTGTGTGTGTGTGTGTGCGTGCAAGTTTTTAGTTTTACCTATGGCTCAATAATTAAAGTAAGAGTTTTCAGCAGGAAAGAACAGATGTGGCATGTTTTATTATTTTCTTTAGTCTCACCACTCCTGTATCTGAAATGATCTTCTAAGTATCAAGTTACAGGCCATTGAGTTGGAGGTACTTAAGTTGTCTCTTCAGCATAGCTTTGCAAAACCAAATACAAGGAACAACATGCAACTAGCAGCCAGTGAAAGTGGTTGTCTCAGAATGAGAAAACACTCTCAATGGCAAGGAATGCATTGCGTTCTGAAGAGCGCGTTCTATTTCGAACTTTCTCGGTGTTAGAAACAAGTTTCTTAGGCTGAACCTAAAACTACCTCTTTTTACTTGCGCTGCTCACCTCCGCTATGTACTTCTGAGGAGATACAAATGAAGCCCATGTTTCTTCTCTATGACAGCACCTTGCCAACCCGAGGACAGTGTGAGTCTATGTTTTACTTTCCTTGTAGTCCCCAAACTCGACCCCTCTCCATCCTCAGTGGCATTACTTTTATTATCTTCTCTATCCCACCTCATTCACCTCTAGAAGTAAGTTATTGTGCCAATAACTTCATGCACTCCACTTTTTTAAATGCAAAGTAGAACCGTTGGCCTAAATTAGGGGTGACAATTGAAAATGTCACTAGAGGCCAAGCAGGTAAGGCAACTGTGTGAAACATCACAGGAAGTGGTGACAATGGTGGTGACTGAAGGATAAGGTCCTGCCAGAAACCAATCACTGTCTCACTAATAGAGAGATGCGGACAGGAAGCCTGAAAGGCTGGTCAACAACCTTAATTGCTCTAATCACTCACTGTTTAGTTGAAGCATTGTTAGCTGAAGCAGCCTCTACCTTTGTTTGTCTTATGTATTTTTTGTTATTGGAATTTCCTGTCTAAGGGCTATGGGTGTATCCCATAATCTTAATAAAAGGGATAGCAAGGCCAGAGCAGGGTAGTAGTCCTCCCCCTAGAGGTGGGCTCCCGCCTCGCTCCCAAAATTCCTAAATTAACACTTTCCAAGTCTCTTTTCATTTGTGTGTGGCCTTTCCAGAGCCTAACCCTGAACCACACGGGACGTGAAAGGGGTTCCCACAAGATCCCAACCAGATATTACAATTCACATTCTTTAAAAGAATGCACACAAAACACAAAACACACACAACTCATCTGCAGTTGCAATCCTTGGTCTTAATTACTCTGATAGCAAATACTAAATTAATAGAATATAACAACTTGTGAACTAAAAAAAAAAAAAAAAACTTTTGCTGATTAGGCTAGGAGAGAGGAACAGTTTCCTATGCCATCAGGGCACTCTCTCTAAGTATCATGGGAATGTAATCAGTCAATTTTCTCTCAGCGGTACATTTAAAAAAAAATACAAACCAGCCCACCAGTGGCTCAGTGGATGAGCATCAACCTATGAACCAGGAGGTCACGGTTCAATTCCTGTCTCTATGTAGTTTAGCTCTTCTGGGAAGTTTAACTCAATCCCCAGTGTGGGGCATGCAAGAGGCAACCAATCAATGATTCTCTCTCATCGTTGATGTTTCTATCTCTCTCTCCCTGTCCCTTCCCCTCTGAAATCAATACAAATATATATATTTGTATTTTAAAAATCAAAACCAAAATTGTCACTGCCTCATTGCTCAATATGTTATATTAGGTAAGCTTGTTCTCCACCAGAATGAATAAGGCACACCATAATTGAACATAATAATAAAAAAATTAGACTGAATAAAAGGTAAGGATCTACTATCACAGAGTATTAAGAGATGCACATTATTAATTTCTACATTCCATTAGCTCTTTCCTTTGCTAAGACTTAAATTTTATTTTCAAAAGCATAAGCTGTGCTCCCCTTAGTATTTAAAAGTTCTAGTGCTGCCCTCCAATATGTATGTAAATTGTCTGTCTTCCTGTTAACCACAAGGACACCTTCAGGAACCTCCTAGCTAGCCCAAACGTTGTCTGTGGTCGTAGTCCAGGGAAGGTAGTTGCTCTAAGTTTGCGTGGAAACAAGGAAGTAATGTTATAAATATCAGTCTACAAAGCCCTGATCTATTTCCTACAGGCTTTAGAGCATAGAACGTAGAACCAAAAAAAAAAAAAAAAAAATGAATCAAGTCTTTCCTCAAGTTGGCCAAAAACATATTATTTTATGATCACCTGTCTCATAGTTGACTATAAGCATTTGGTTAGTGACACTTCTAGAGAATAATGCGTGGCCTCAATGCTAGGGTTTTCCACATGCAAACTCCTTTTACAAAATAGCCCCTTGCCGAAACCGGTTTGGCTCAGTGGTAGAGCATCGGTCTGCGGACTGAAAGATCCCAGGTTCGATTCCGGTCAGGGTCATGTACATTGGTTGCGGGCACATCCCCAGTGGGGGGTGTGCAGGAGGCAGCTGGTCGATGTTTCTCTCTCATTGACGTTTCTACCTCTCTATCCCTCTTTCTCTTCTTCTCTGTAAAAAATCAATAAAATATATTTCTTAAAAAAGAAAGAAAGAAAGAAAGGAAGGAAGGAAGGAAGGAAGGAAGGAAGGAAGGAAGGAAGGAAGGAAGGAAGGAAGGAAGGAAGGGAGGGAGGGAGGGAGGGAGGGAGGGAGGGAGGGAGGGAGGGAGGGAGGGAGGAAGGAAGGAAGGAAGGGCCCCTTGGCTTAACTCATAAGGCTGCTTAATGACTAGGTCATCATTATTCATGACTTAAAACACTCTTAACAAATTAACGTTAGAGTTCTGCACCCACACCAAATATTCATTCCCTAAAGAAAAAGAAAGGATTTTTGGGTTTACCTCTGTCCATCGTCTTTGATCCCGTAGGCTTGTCTGGGACAGTAAGATGGTCTAGGGTGCTACTCAGTGAAGACGGGTCACCACTGGATAAAGAGTTCAAAACTCCACTTTCTGACGCGGCCACGCTGTTCTCTGGGGCCTTGTCACTGTGTACCTCTGAGGGTCCAGGTGGATGAACCTCCACAGCAATTGCTACAGATTGTCCCACATCTTCAGCAGCAGACGAACTGCTCATGTTGGTCAAGGACTGTCTTTCCTTTGACAAGGAGGTGGGCAGACTGCTGGGTGTCTTTACGGTACTTTCCAGGGAAGAAAAAGAACCCGGTGTTTCACTCAGATTGGATGAAGATGAACATGCCTGCTCTGCTGCCTATTTTGCAGACATAAAATTAAAAAAAAAAAATAGTAAGTCATGATTAAATAAGCATTCCCTACTTTTAATATTCAATGAAGGCAATCCATTGATTCAAAAAGTGGCCAATAGTCCAGATAATGTGTGTGATATTTATATCCATATGACAGGTATGATGATGCCACTTTCTAAAACCTGGTTTATATCATTTTAAATTCACTGTTCAAGGATCTGAAAAAAAATTTCCATATCATGATTTACCTTATTCTTCAATGTTCTCCAGAAACTTAACAGGCCTCTTTGGGGAATTCTTTGGAATACTGAAGGACTCTTTGAGCAAAAAAGGAGATTGCAATCTATCACTAAAATGAGCAAAAAATCTTGAGAAATGTAATTAAGAAAGGAAAGCAAAAACTGGAGCCAGAGATGAAGCAAAATAATATTAACTGAGTGATGACCAGTAATGTGGGTAAAGCACTTATATTGATCAATCCTCAAATATCTTTTAGTACATATTCCTTAGCACATGACCAGTATCACCCCATAGCTACATAGTTAGGTGAAATGATGTTACCTCATTTGCTCTTTAATACTTTGAAAACTTTAACAATAAACTTTTACCAAAGAAGACCAGGACACATTTGCAGGCTCCTAATTCATTACAGAGAAACCAAAACTGTCCCACAGACTAGGCGAACTGGATTGATGATGTAGTCTCTTGCAAGCAATTCCTAATAGACAGTCCAAGGCTGAATGACAATCCCCGGTGAAATTTTCACCAGTCCATGGAGAAAATATCAATGCCACATCACCAACTATCCTCTCTTGGTAAACACTCCACTTATTCTGAGATTTTATCCTTGTGACATTTTGATGTTAAAATATAGGGTGTCCCCCAAACTGTATACACACTTTGAATAATTATTAATTCCAGTGAATTCAATCTGAAAAGATAGAAACATCAACTGAGCCGAAACCGGTTTGGCTCAATGGATAGAGCGTCGGCTTGGGGACTGAAAGGTCCCGGGTTTGATTCCGGTCAAGGGCATGTGCCTTGGTGGCGGGCATATCACCGGTGGGGGGTGTGCAAGTGGCAGCTGATTGATGACTCTCTCTCATCAATGTTTCTAACTCTCTATCTCTCTCCCTTCCTCTCTGTACAAAATCAATAAAAATATATTTAAAAAAAAAAAAAAAAGAAAGAAACATCAACTGAGCTATCAGCTATAAAGTGTGTAAATATTTTTTGGGGGGATGCTCTATATATTTAGAAAACTGTGATGATAGATATTAGCTTTTTTTCTTATCTATAGTCATCAAAATAAAGATTTTGTAACTATATGTTGTCCTTCCATTTTTAATTTTATTGATCAGTAAGATCCATAAATCCAGACACCAGTGGTCTATGGCTCACGCTGTATCTCCAATGGCAGGTAAGACTAAAAAGGCATTTTATGGTTCAGTTTCATTATGTCATCCTATAGAAAATTCCCATCAATTTTAAACATTCAAAACTCCAAGGAAGTAGAAAGGAAGAAATTGTTAGAGGAAAGAAGCCAAAAAGTAAACTAGAATCTCTACTCAGAGACATCAAAATCACTGCAACTAACTCAGAATGGTTGACTTTGTTCCAAACCAATACTGTCCCTAGAATTTTCCAAGTCCTACGCTTTGAGTTATGATGGAAAAAGCCTGTTTTTTGGTCAGTATGTGCCCAGTTGGCTGCATACTAAACATGGAGCATCAAATAATCAACAAAGCCACTTTTTAGTAGCATGACATTAAATTATCTAGTTAAGATACTGACTCATCACATGCATCTTCTTAATAATACATGTATGATGACATGAAAACTTTCCATTCAAGAACACATCAATAAACTTGGTAACCAGTTGCTTTCAATCACTCCGACTATTTAAAATTTAAGAGATCAAAGAAAGACCAATAATTCACGAAGTAAAAACCCAGTTATCTGGAGAAAGGAATGCCCATTTGCCAAACTATCCAAATAAATGCCGGGAATAGTTTACTCATTAGCAGGATCTATAAAATAAATATTACAAAAATACCTACCCTGGCCCAGTCCCGACACACTTCCCTACTGTGAGCTATTTTGGCAAAGCTTGGCTTCCACGTGTTCAACTTCTTTTCTGCAGAGATGAAGCTCATGCAGTTTCTGTTGCTCCTGCTGGTGCTTCTCTAATTAGATTATAGCAAAATGGATATGAGCCAAAAACTGCACACACCTGCAGCAGCACATCCCACAAGCCTCTAGGAACCTCAAAAGCCTGCTTAAAGGACTAAGGAGAGACCTGTTAAGTGAGCATCAGAAATGCCTGTGGTGCCTGTAGACGGTATTCCTGTCTGTGGTGCTACTCAAACAAAGGGCAAATGCTTTCCATTTTCTCTAGCACCAAGTAGCATTTACAAATATGATTTTAAAATGGAGAAAAGAATAAATCAAAGGAGGAGGAGGAAGAAGAGGAGGGTGGAGGAGGAAGAGGAGAAGGTTACGTGTATCAAGTCAGAAGGAGCCTTTATTAGAAGAGAGATTGACAAAGTACAAATCAAAGTGAACCTACAGCAACATTACGGAGATTCCACACGGGAGCGTGCTTTATAGGCAGCGTGGTGTCAAATCTTGGCTCGTTATTTCTACCATTCTGTAGCTACTAATAACTGCAGCTACATGTCAAACAATAACCCGTTGGCTCCATGCCTTCTGTGAACTATCTGTGTAATACGCTCATAAGTTCCCCGCTGCGAATCAAACGAAGGTGGAAAGGAGTGACACCCTTTGGTGGCTAACAGGAGCACCATCTTCCAGGATCAGTGCAGGGGCATGCTCCGCCCAGCTTTCTCTGGGGACGTCAGGGGGAAATAGGTACCTTTGCCTGATGCTTGGGCTTCCTTCGGTCACACCAGGTGGAACATCATTTTATTGGTCAACTGATTTCCGTAATTGCTGATGACTTGTTCATCTTTGTTGGTGAGTTACTTGAGAACAGGCTGCTTTTCATCATTTTTGCATCTCCATTTATTGCATCTGTGCCTGACACATTGGTCACAAACTAATGCCAACCAAGAGCAGACTGGAGAGCCAGCTGTATGAAGAAAAACAGCTCTGGGCTGTCCAGCCTGCTGCTGAAGAGACCCTGAAATTCTCTGTGAAGTAGCTATGGGTGATTTATCCTAATCCTTGGATCTAAGGGTGACAGGTACCGACTGCAGTACAAATGCTCATTTTCACAATCGCAAACAAAATTAGTATTTTATTTATTAGATATTAACAATTGGATGTGGTTTCACAAATTTGAGAACATTTGGGATTTAAATATTTTATTTTTTGGTGTGTGTGTGTGTGTGTGTGTGTGTGTGTGTGTTCTGTTTTTTAAATCCTCACTTGAGAATATTTTTCCATTGATTTTTAGAGGGAGTGGAAGAGAGAAAGACAGAGAAAGATATATATGCAAGAGAAACACATCAATTACAATAGTTGCCCCTGCACATGCTCTGACTAGGGTCTGGGTTGGGAAGGAGCCTGCAACCAAGGTAAGTGCCCTCAACTGGAATTGTACCTAGGACCTTTCAGTCTCAAGCTGACACTCATCCACTGAGCTAAACTGGCTAGGGCTAAATATTTTATTTCTTAATGAGATATTTAAAGACATTTTAAAGATTTTAATGTTAATGAATTAAATTAAAATTTCAATATTAATTTTCCCCATTTTCTGTATAAGATACTTTTATTCATCAAAATATAGTTCAAATGCTGATTAGCTACAATTCCTTTGAATTGTTTTAAAACCCAGGTTTGACATGGGGAAAATAGTTTTAAATGGCCACCAAAATCTTATAATTAGAAGGAAGTGAGTTAACATTTAAATTTTAAGCAATATTAGTCAAAACATTTAAAAAATTGAAGATACAGAAATAGCTTAACACTAAACATAATAAAACCAAATGAGAAAAAGGAGGAACGTACACAGCCTTTTTTCCCTTTCATTTGCTCTATCAAAAAAAACAAACCAGTCAATTGCTCATTGGCTCTAGAAAATATTGTTTGCATTTCTATCATATGCCAGTAACATTACCATAAAAATCCAAAGACCTTGGTATAGTATCCTCCCTACTCTGTCACTGACCTTCTGCATGACCTTGGGCAATGAAGTAGCAAAAGATTCCCTCCTCAATCCAACCCTTAGTATCCATGACCTTCAAAAAGCCATTTTACCTCCAAGTCCTGTTCTACTGACTTCCTATCTCCCCTCTCCTCGGGTCCATCCTCCAGTCCAAACAATAACTGGAGTATTTTTAAAACATAGAACAGATCACAACATTCCCCTGCTGGAAAACCTTCTAATTGTCCATAGAAGTAGAAAAATGGCCCCAAGGCTCCATTATAGCTGAGAAGGACTACAGGAACCCCTGCCAGCCCCTCGGGCACCATCTGCTGCCACCTCCCCTCCCTTTCCTTTCAAGTCACATTGGTCTTCCTGCTCTTTGAGAAAATCTCTGGCTCCTTGTGCCAGAAAGGCTTTCTGTGGATTGTTCATTGGCTGCCTCCTTCCCAGGATTTTGGTCCCAATTCAAATATCACTTCCTCAGCAAGCTGTTCCCTGACAATCATACTAGTATACAAAGCAATAGCCTCTGAACTCAGCCTGGCCACTCCCTAGCACATTGCACTACGTTTTCTTCTTCAGAGCATTTATCGACAGTTGAGATTATTTTGTTTGAATCACAAATATGTTGTGCCTCTTCCTCAATTTAGAACTCAATATGCTCAATGGAAGAGACACTATCTCGATTCGGCCTGTCTTATCGGCAAAAATACCTGGTACGTGGTCCATACACAAAAATATTGCTTAGCTTTCTGACCGACTGACGCAGCTTTACCGAGAGGAGCAAATGAGATAACATCAAAGAATAGTCTTAATAAAATGTAAGTTTAAACATGCAAATGATACTTAGGACAGCCATATTTACTCTCTAAATGTGGCTTCCTTGCTTGTAAAATGAATACAGGATTTTTGTGAGTCAACTAGAACCATCCTTCTCAAAGCCATCTGAAAGTAACTTGCCAATTCTCACGGGGAAATGCTTACAGAGCAGGAATCAGTAGAGAGTGTGGATGAAGTCACAATAATCACCCACTGACCCATTTATCACTCTGTTAGTAAATATTTATTAGGTTTTGAGTATGTGTTAGGAGCAGTCATAAGCGGTATGGGTAAAGAAGAATATATATTAATAAATATATATTAATAAATAGCTCCTAGCCGGATTGGCTCAGTAGATAGAGTGCCGGCCTACAAACTGAAGGGTCCCAGGTTCGATTCTGGTCAAAGGCAAGGAGGGGGGTTTGCAGGAAGCAGCTGATCAATGTTTCTCTCTCATGGATATTTCTACTCTCTATCCCTCTCTCTTCCTCTCTGTAAAAAAAATCAATAAAATATATATATTTTTAAAAAGAACTTAATAATTAGAGAAAAACAACAGATATACAAAATTAATAATAACAAGACAGGTTTAAAGGTATCAAAAAACTATGCACTATAGGAGTATAAAGGATTCAGAAGAAGGAAGACAAATCCTGACTTAACGGACTAAGGAAGCTCTAATGAAGGAAGTCACCGTTGGACTTGTCTTGAAAGATATTTAAAAGATGGAATTCGGGTGGGAGCAAGAGGTTCCCGCAAGTGGAGAAACTTTGTAATTCCAGCCTGCAAGAGCAAGAAAGTGGAAAGTTTTTGGGAAAATAACTGGCAGCTCATTGAGGTGATGACAATGGAGGAATCAGCATCAAGACAATACTGCTGGCTTAAAGGAAGCCCAATACTTTACATATCAATCCAATGAGCCCAAATTAATTTGATAAGCAGTGAGGGTTTACAGAAAGGCTGTCCGAGGTGAATCCATATTATTGGACCGCACTTTAGAAAGACCAATTTGGGTGTGGATTTTAAGAGGCGAGATTAGAGACCAAGAAAGAAAACTAGCCTGCGATTTCCATAACCCAGGCAACAGCTAATGTGGTCCCAAACAAGGGATGGCAGTGGGGATGGAAGACACAGACAGGGTGAGGGACAGCCAGCACATCTTGTGACTGACTGCCAGAAGAGCAGGCTGAGAAGACGAGCTGTTAGAGCAAGAAACAAAAATGTAAGAGCCAATTTTAGAAGGATCTGAAAATCAGTGAAATGTTCAAACCAGAGAGCTTATGATACTTTTTTTTTTGCACCTTAAAGAGAAAGCATGCAATTTTCTTTTTCTAAAATAAAAAATCACTGATACTTCTTTTACAACTATCTCCCTTGCAAGCATTAGAATTATTTTATATAGTATATCAAAAGATCAAGTAAACTTTAGTAAACAGTTGTGCAAGATTTATCCTACCAGGATTACATTTCCATTTCTAACACTGACTCTACCACTTCCTGTGTTTAAGAGACTTCCTCCTCTGCCGCTGTCCCAGGGCCCACAGTGTGCAGGGTTTGTCTTTACTTATCTCTTCTTAGCTGACGTTTTTTCCCCATCGTTTGACAATAAAGGAATTGCGCTTGTGAAAAGCAGCCAAATGTGTGACTGCCGTGTTAACAGTGATCTGCATGAGCTTCCTGCAGCTGGAATGACCAACATTTAGATTCTCCTGTGTCTGACCCACCTGGATCACCTGTTGGGTGGTCTGCCTAACTATATGCAAAATCTGACCATTTCATGTCCCATCTAGTGCCTTCTCTGAATCACCACTGTGTCTCTCACTAGACTTCTTTGCATTTATATGTAGCCTTCCATGGTCTCTCCCACGCAACAACCTGAATAGTCCTTTTAAAATGGAAATTGATGGCTTCACTCCTCTGCTCAAACATTCCCAAGGCTCCCTAACAAACTCAAAACAGTGCAGGCTGTACAGGATATGGCCACCACTAGTCCATCCTCACTTCCTGCCGCTTTCATCTTTGTCACCTGCTCCTACCACCCTGGCTTCTTTGCATCATCCTCAAGGCACCCAGGAGAGCTTGGCTTGAACTGCCCTCTAGGCTTGGGCAACTCCTTCCCTCAAAATCCGCCCGGCTGACTCACCACTCTTCCAGAGTTTGTTCAAATCTCAGCTCTCACCCGGGCCACTTCTGGCTTCCTGTTCATTGCTACAACCTGACCTCCAGCACTCCTGCCCTTCCTTACTCACCCTGCTCTACTACTGACACAGCAGGCAATAAGCATCAGATTTTTACAGCTCTGAAATCACTTTGTAATTTATAATATTGGGTTTTAAAGGTGAACTGTTTTTGCTTTTTTGTGATTTCAGGGAATTACGGATAGTGAATTCTACATATGATCTTCCGTGAAACCTACAGACTCCTATCTATTTTGAGCTTTCTTACTAGGCCTGTCAGAAAGCTCCCATTTCTGATTTCTCTGTGAATAAATAAATGTCGCGCCCTGTGAAGTCTCCTCAAGGAAAAGGACCATAAACAAACACCTCTTGTTCACTCACTGAAGACCCTGCCATGTCCCCTGTGATTCAGCCACTAGAAGCAGAGGTCAAGTCGATGTGGTGCTGAGGTCCTACAGCTTATCTTTCCTCCAGAGTCATTAGAATGACTGGATATTAGGCTAAATTTTTAGGTCAAGATTTTAAAAATTTTTGAGAAAATTTTCCAGAATAATATGGTTTTATACTTTTGAGTTCATCATTCCAAAAGAAAGTTTATTACCCAACTTAAAAAAAAAAAAAAAAAAAAAAAAAAAAGCAAGAACTGAGTGGGGGTGGTGGGAGGGTACTGTTTTCACCTACGCTTGTATAGCTCCATCAAAGCTAGACTACGCTAGACTGAGCCAAAACAACAACCTGAGTCACACTCTGGAAAAAGTTACTATGATTTTTTAAATTTCATCTGTTTAAAAAAAAAAAAAGCTTAAATGTTATGTTAACCAAGTGTCTTACATGTCTGTTTTTCAGAAACAAGAAGAAACAAAAACAAAATCTGCCTGGGAAATATGCAGGAATGAGGAACATATTCTATTTCTAAGAAAAATAAAATCTAGCTCTTCAATATTTATCTATTTCTAACATATTTCTTCAGGGGGAAAAAATGTTAGTCTTTGTGGATTTCCAGAAAATGCTCAACATAGAACTTGAAGAAATAACATATGAGTGATGACCCCCAAATTCTAAAGGATCCTTCCATTTCAATGACCTAACTTACTGGTCTCATAAGCACCCTTTCAGTTATTTGTTTTAAAACAGCATTCCCTGTGATAGCATGTGAGACGGTCATGGCACAATGCAACTGAGTCATGACCCTTCATCTAAGGCCAGTGGTCGGCAAATTCATTAGTCAACAGAGCCAAATATCAATAGTACGACGATTGAAATTTCTTTTGAGAGCCAAATTTTTTAAACTCAAACTTCTTCTAATGTCACTTCTTCAAAATAGACTCGCCCAGGCCGTGGTATTTTGTGGAAGAGCCACAGTCTAGGGGCCAAAGAGCCACATGTGGCTCGGGAGCCACATTTTGCCGACCACTGATCTAAGACGATATTGGTTTCATTTACTCTTACCAAGTAAAGTCCTAGGTACCTGATAATGCTTCTAATCTATGATACTAATTTGCCATTAAAAAAAAAAAGAAAAAATCACAGTATTTTAGAACCAAACTAAATCATACAAGAGTCATATACAGGGCACCATAGGAGAGAGAAGGAATTTCAGGAAGACAAGGAGGGAGAACCAACCAATCCTTTTATGTTACAGGTTAAATAGGAGAAAGAGAGAGAGAAATCCAACTGAAACATATGCTTCTCTATTAAATCAACAAGGAACATCTATGAAAGATCTCCTCAACTTCTTTAGGAGTCATAAAGGATAATCAAATAAGAACACTGTGAAGAGTGGGGAGACGCTCTGAGAGCTGGAGGTATCATTATGTTTGACACAGATAAAAATAAAAGATTTTTCACAATTCAGAGACTGATTTCAAAAGAGGAAGACTACGTTAACAAAAAGCTATGAATGTGTGAAGAAAGGATCAATTGCAAGACTAGTTCAAAAACTGGTCCAAAATCTACCATATTCAAAATTTTATTTTATTGATATCTCATTTAATTTTGGCTAATCCTATTTAATAGACTTTTTTTAAAAAAATCTTCATTCAGTAAATATTTATTTATGGTTTGGCTTCTAGCCAAATAAATTCAAAAAGTGACCCTATCCTGCACTGGCAGAGGGTCAATAAAACAGGAGAGGTCGCTATCTAATTGATATTTAACACCTTAAATCCAAGACTTGGCAAAACAAAAATCCATTAGTAAACCGAACTTACATTGGATACTTTCAAAGCTTAGACTCACACCTGCACTTTTCTCTAGTGAATGTGCAGAATCATTCCATGTGCAGATTTAATGCATTAAACCCACTCCTGGCTTCCAGCTCTCTTTCTGACTCTAGCTTTCTCTTAATGCTGGTATCTTTATCCCCTTTACATTCATTTCACATTATAGCCCAGGCACCTTTCAATTCTCTCTGAGAGTAAGTAAGGCTATAAATAAACGTTATAAAACGAGTCTATGCAAGCACTGGCCTAGTACCAAGAAGCCCTCTGCATTAACTGCAAATCCTCTGAGAATGATACATCTGCGGGTCACGCACAAGGACTCAAAGTTTGTCATACGAGTGGGTTGCTGTGGAAAAGGCTCAAAATCAGCACCATGAGAATTGCGCTTGTTCTTTGGCAAGTATCTTAATTTAGCCTGTTTGAAAAACTTACCAGTCAAGGTCATGTCTACCCAATTGGAGGTCATGACATCCATGCACTTGATCAAATGAACAGCAGACTAATTAGATGGGTACATACCAAGGGGGGCAGAGTCTCCGAAGAGTTAGGAGGCGGTGCTGTCTCCACAGCTATTTCTGGATCATCCTGTTCACTTTCACTGTAACATTCTATAACAAAAACATAAATGCTTAATGTTCCCACGCCGTTATCACTTACCCCCATAATGCACGAGCAGAGGTCTGTCCATCTGGCTATTGCAATTCCAACCCATTTCAGAAAGTGCTCATCTAGTGAGCTATTGGGGTGCAAGGGGGTTCCAGGCGAGGGGAAAACAAGTGGCCACATCAGCGTATCTGCCCTCAAGGAGTGTCCAACCCACAGGAAGAGGACTCCCCATAGGTAGCTCAGGCAAAATAAAATATTTCCTCATATATTAAGAGAGCATACAATCAATAGTGATTAATTCTGATCCCAGGAACCATAATGAGCTGAAATTGAAAGAATAAGTAAACCATCAATGGTGCCAAGAGTGATGTTGGTAGCAGGCCAACAGGGTAACAATATTAAGTCCCTAAAAGAGATGGTGGGAAAAGAAACGGAAAGGTTCCTTGAGGCCATATCATGGAAGGCCTTACACACCAGGCTCTTACGTAGTTATTTTTTTCAACATATCAATGTACTTTATTTTTTTTAAACTTTATTGTCGAAAGTATTACACGTGTCCCCCTTTCCCCTCATTGACCTCTTTTAACCCACCTCCCCTGACCCTACCCCACGCCTTCACCACCCTGTTGTCTGTGTCCATGGGTTATGCATATATGGATATAAGTTCTTTATTTGATCTCTTCCCACCCATTTATCCTCCCTGCCTTCCCTCTGACTTTAAAACTAGACCCATTTATTTTATGGGCAATAGTTAGCAGATTGATTTCACAATATTATAATGTACCTCTTTATTGTTTTAAGCCTAGTTGCCACTTTTCTATTTCTAAATTAAGATTGTTTGATTTTGTTATCCAAAGATACAATCCTCTAGTTTCAATTCCCAAGTTTTATGTGGTGTGAGCATTTCAGAATAGCATCAGCTCTGTGACCTTGGCACCTAACGCCTCTTCTTTTCCATAAGAAGGAGCACTTGCATCATTAAGAAGAATCAGAAACTTGTAGATGTGTATGCTGAAAGCTACAGACTGGGCTCAAAGACTGACACTCGGCCTGTGTCCCAATCTGACCTTCAGGTTCCCAATGCAAACGTCGGGTAATTACTCTGAGCACACATCTGGTGGAAATACTAAAATATCAGAAAGGAAGCAGTGGGATGAAAGTTATCTGTCTAAATCATGATGAGATGATGCCTATGAGTAAGAATCCAGTAAGTGAGGCAATGAAACATTTGCATTGGCAATTGTGTGAGATGTCATTGAAGCTTCCAGTTGCTAACGAGTGGGTGAAGTGTGAACAGCATGCATAGCCAGCAGAGGAAGCTCAATTCCATGCTGGCGAGTCTGTGCGATTGTCTCTGCATGTTTTCAGATAATTTTAAATGCCAACGTGTGTTTCGTTAGGACAAGGCAATGCATACAACTTGACATGGTTTTCTCACCTTATTTCATCCTATTCTAATTTTCTTGCTAGATTTTCATAATTTTAAAATAGAACATACCTTCATCCTTTGTAGTGGATTCATGATGGGTTACAGATAATCCAAGCTTGTTTAACCACCTATAATTTAAATAGAAAATAAACATTTGACCAAAGAGATTCACCTTTGCCCTAGATTCTGAAGGAAGGTTTTGGTCATATTTTATAATAAAGTTGTCATAATCCTACGTTCAGTCCAAATATTTCCAGCACAAATTTGTGGTATCGAACCCTAAGAATTCTGGTTTCATAATATTTTCATTACTTAGGGCACTCTTTTTAAAATAAATTTTTTTATTGATTTTAGAGAAGAAGGGAGAGGGATAGAGAGATAGAAACATCAATGAGAAGAAAGAATGATTGATTAGCTGCCCCCTGCACACCCCACACTGAGGATCGAGCCCTCCACGTGGGTATGTGCTCTGACCAGGAATCGAAACATGACCTCCTGGTTCATAGGTCAATGCTCAACCACTGAGCCATGCCAGCCGGGCTATTCACTTACTTGCAAGAAAAGAAATGAGGTGGCCCATTACCCAGATGACTACTGTGGGTAACAGCATTATATATTCTAAATATATGAACAAATATATTTTTGCAATTGTACATTTTAAGTTGTTAGCAACCATGAAAATCCTTATTATTAAGTTTAGTAATTTTACCATTAAAGTTTTATCTCTGTAATTCTTAAAATATCTGTTTATTACACATGAAAATAAAGAAAAGATGATACATTTTTTAAGCCAGAGTTTTTATTTTAATCAATAAAAGATCTGGCTAGAGCTAGATAGGTATTCCTAACCTGGGGAAATTTTTAATTCCTTGAATAATGTGATGTAAAGCAAAAACTATCAATGTCATCTCTTCTATTGATTTACCATTTTGTTGGCAATGAATTCAAACTAAACATCAATAATGAAAATGGAACTAGATGACCCTTACGGAAGTCAAACTTGGCTTATGACTTCAGGCTACTGCAGTTCTTTCTCAAGGGTTTTGTTAGGAACATATTTTATAACACAGAATTTTTAAAAAGATATAAAAGGTCTATTTCATATGCCCCTAACTATATAACCTATTTAAAGGGAAAATATTATTTGGGGGCGGTGATCACCTAAGCAATTAATTTTCCACATCTTGCCAGTTTTCTATATTTTTTAAAAATGTTCTATATTGTGTATTACTTTTGAGAAACCAGAGCATTTAATAGTGGCCAAAGTCTACCAATACCAACAAAATCATAGTGCTATGTACTTTGAGATTCACTTATATTTTTCATGTCCCTGAGACCTGTAATGCCTCATGAACAATTCTCTGGCCACACACCAAGAACAGAAGTATTGCACATTTCCATCTGTCAATAAGTTAGGAATCTTTACCCAGTTCTCCACTTTCTATGGCCTTGCTGCATTTTTATTTTTATTATTTTTTATTTATTTTTTAATATATTTTATTGATTTTGTACAGAGAGGAAGGGAGAGAGATAGAAAGCTAGAAACATCGATGAGAGAGAGTCTCTCTCTGGGGATGTGCCTGCAACCAAGGTACATGCCCTTGACCGGAATTGAACCCAGGTCCCTTCAGTCCCCAAGCCGACGCTCTATCCATTTAGCCAAACCAGTCTCGGCCTTGCTGCATTTTTAAACATTTAACAGCAAATATAAAATAAATCTGATTGTTAAAAATAATTAAAATAGGACTGACTGCCAGGAAAAGTTGAATCCCAGCCTCATCTATGAAAACCCCTTTTGCACCATAAGAAACACGTATTCTCTTAATGGACACTTAAAACTGGAATAACACCTGGGCCCAGATCATGCCACAGGCACTGGAAAATGTTCATCAAGACTCAACAGAACAAACAACAAAACAAGTAGGCAGGAAATCATATTTTAAAAAATGCAAATGGCTAATAAACACATGGACAAAATTATCAGCTTCAACTGTATTTTGGATAATGCACATTCAAACACAGGAAAATATTTTTCACCACTAGATGGGAAACATTTTAGATATCTCTGATTTCTAGAATTTAGGAGAAAACATTGTAATGTTTGTTGAGTTGAACATGAAAATTGATGCAGCCAATTTTAAGCAGGCAATTCATTGATAGTATTCAAATGTTAAATATTCATCCTTTTTGCCCAACGAGTCTAATTGTAAACATCTAGCCTACAACTTCATATACACAAATAAATGACAAAAACAAGAAAATAAAACATAATCTATCTATATATATAAAATCCTAAGCAACTGTCCGACCATTCAACCATCTGACCGGTAGCTATGATGCACACTGACTATGAGGGGGCAGATGTTCAATATAGGAGCTGCCGAGCGGCAGTGACGTGGCAGCTGCGGTTCTTGGGTGTTGCACCCAGAACCAGAGAGGAGAGAGCCCGATCCAGGGACTGGCCTCTCGCAATCCGGGACCCCTCGGGAGATGTCAGAGAGCCAGTTTCGCCCCAATCTCCACAAAACAGGCTGAGGGATCCCACCAGTGCATGAATCCATGCACTGACTGGGCCTCTAATACAATATAATTGTCCATCAATGGGAAAATGGGTAAAGTACGGCACTGATTCTACCGGTACCGTGTTATAATGGAGCTAATAAAAAGATAGGTGGGAAGCCTTGTAATGACCTGGGAAAATCCTATCATACTGTGAAATAAAAAATTAAAAAAAAAAAAGGAAGTAAAAAACATGTTTAGGCTGACTCTAAAACTATATATTTGTATACATCTAGAAATTGATATGCAAAAAAAGCCTCAGGAAGCCTATACAGCGTACTGTTAAAAGGGTTTGCCGAAACCGGTTTGGCTCAGTGGATAGAACGTAGGTCTGCGGACTGGAAGGTCCCAAGTTCTATTCCGGTAAAGGGCATGTACATTGATTGTGGGCACATCCCCGGTAGGGGGCATGTAGGAGGCAGCTGGTCGATGCTTCTCTCTCTCTCATCGATGTTTCTAGTTCTCTATCCCTCTCCCTTTCTCTCTGCTAAAAAAAAAAATAATAATAATAATAATAAAATATCAAAATATATTTAAGAAAAAAGGGTTAATCCCAGGGAGAGAATTTGAGGATATAGGAAGGTTTTCACATTGCATGCTTCTGTATTATATGGTTTCTACAAGAATATATTTTATGAGTCACCTAACTAAAAGAAATATTTAAAAGCACATTTTTAAACATTGATTAGGCAAAGCACAACGAATTTAATGATTCACTTTTAAAATATCAAAAATAAACTCATTCTTAGTTTATACATAATTTCATAATTACATAAGCTAACCACTCCCCCCCCCCAAAAAAAAGAGTATATAAAAGTGAAATAGACCAAAAAAAAAAAACTGTTGGCATTATCAAGACAAAAATGGTTTTAAATTGAGAATGTCTGAAACAAGCAAAGACACGAAAATATAGAAACATAGCAGATTGGGAGAGCATTGACAATAAAAAAAAAAATTCCTCTCAACCCTTAGCCAACAACCATGTCCTTTTAATGGCCGTGGTGAGTTCCTTGCTGTGAAAAACTGGTGATTGATTAGAATCTGTTTCTTCCCAGCACCCACTGGCTGAGAGCACCTCCCTTGCTAAGAACACTTTAGCTGAACATGGAGGCTAAATGCCCCTATTTGGGGCTAAATAGGCGGATGCACAAAAAGACTTGTATTTACATAGAAATGACAGATGTTCCCCAGAGTGTGCTGCATGCTGACTGGCCGTGACTGTGTGTGTTGGAGAAACACGAGTGTTAAGAAATGGATGGGAAAACAAGCACATGCTTCCCGCAAGCACCGTGGGAGATGGCCGCTCCCACAGCCTTTGTTCAGAACCAGCTCCTTCATTTCCCTAACCGCTTCCCCCCGTCCTTACAGACTGAGGGTCCCTTCGGAATACACAGCATAACCATTAGCCTTAATTGCCTTTCCCTTCCTCGTCCCAGATAGAAATGTCACCCCCAAAAGTGCCGTTTCCAGAGGAGAGGGGCTTCTAAAGCAGAGCCCTCTCTCCAGATGCCCTCCCGCCCTCCTTCCCAGCATCTCCGCATGTCTCTGAGACACACCAGTTACGTGATGCCCTGGCTCCAACAGGCCACCTGGGTAGGAAAAGAGACTCCTCAGGGGCTAATGGCGGCAATCCCTTCCTCACCACGTGAACTACTTACTACCTTGTGGAAGAAGTTAGCCTGGAGACCCCAAGAGAGTCTGCATTGGTGGCTATTAAAAGACCATCTTCAGAAAAATAAAACTTCACGCTGTGTCACAAAACAAAGAGATTATGACACATTTGGGCACAGACCAAATGGGCCATTTGTCTATGAGTGGCCGCATGGACAGTTTTAAACTCTAAAGGTCATTCAGCACTATGGGATCAGAACACCTTACATTCAAACTTCAATTTACGCCTTACTTGTAAGCTGGAAAGGTAAATGTTAACATAATTTCAAGTAAAATAAACAGATTTTCCCAGCATAGACCAGTAATAAGATCTTGGCTTCGGTAACTATGAAAGGCTTTTACTTAGCCAACTAGACAGTGTGTATGTGTGTGTGTGTGTGTGTGTGTGTATTTGTATGTATATATACATATATGTCTTAGTTATACTAGTAGTTAATACGCATGTAACTCTGCTGTCAGATATCTGCAAATGGAAAACACAAAAACTGAACATAAGTGGACTAGAAACATACACATAAACTGGAAACGAGGGTGAGCAGGAAACAAAATAATGCGGATGTGTGATGTATAGAGCAAATCTGACTGAAATTAACAGGTTTAATAACTTTGTACTGGTTCGCAAATGTATTTTGCGATGCCAGGAGAGAAATTCACAGACAACAAAACACTGAGCACTAACTGTTTCTCTGGTAAACTCGGTCTCACCCTGCCCTCGTCAGAGAAAACAGAAGCACTTTGAAAGGGCCAGCCGCAGGATGGGTAGAAAGATGTAGACAGGAAGGAAGCTGGAGATACAAGATGCTGTTTGAAAGAAACCAGGGACAGCAGGAGGCTGTGGGGGGAGGCAGGGGGGACCATTTGGGGTTAATGGATGGCTCAGATCCAGACCATCTTGGGGCCCTAAGTACTTGGAGGCAAGACATTAAGCTTTCCACACGCCCCTTACAGCCTTAGGGCTTGCTAATCAATAGGGTTTAGCGTTACTCCTATAAGTAAATAAAGAGCTTTGACAGTGAAGTTTTAAAAATCTTCTCCTTTTGTATGCCTGCTCTTATTTTTTTTCAGACACTTGAGAAAGCCAGGAAGGAAAAGCTAAAATCAGAAAAAGGGAAGAAACCACTTCTCTCTTTCTCCATGTAAATAAAAGGCTTGTTTGAAAGACTCAGTTGTCAATTCCTGGCCTTGTTATTTCGAATGCTGGGTTTCTCAATAAAGAGCCACTCTGCCCTCACATGAGGGGTTGTGGTGGGGGGATGAGTGTAGGAAACCAATGCTTCTAGCTAGAGTAGGCTGCTGACTGGATATCCTATAAGTTGTGTGTGTGCTCGTTCATGTATGTTTGGTGAAAAGCAGTTTTTCTTTAAGTTTCTAGAGCAAAAGGGCAAAAGGAAGTTATATAAGGCAGATAGAACAGAAAAAAAATCATTATCTATAAATAAATAAAACAGATTAAGCCATAAAACTTCATGAATGGAGAAAGTATGTCTGCATTCTTTATTTCTAGTGCTTCAGATCTGCTACAATGGGACAATAGCAGGTGGTCCATAGACATATTTTAATTAGTTATGTAAGGTAATAAGAGACACTAAGAATTCTTGCCCTAGCCAGTGTTGCTCAGTGGTTGGAGTGTTAGCCTAGTGCATTTGGGTCTTGGGTTCAATTCCCAGTCAAAGGCACATACCTGGATTGCAGGTTTGATCTCTCACCCTGTCCGTGGGCAGGTTCAGGAGGCAACCAATCAACTGATCTATATGTGTGTCTCTCTCCCCTCCTCCCTTCCTTCCACTCTCTCTCTTAAAAAAAAAAAAAAATCAATGGAAAAAATATCCTCTGGTGAGGATTAATAAACAAGAGAGAGAGAGAGAGAGAGAGAGAAAGAGAGAGAGAGAGAGAGAGAGAGAGAGAGAGAGAGAGAGAGAGAGAGAGAGACTAAGAATTCTGAAACTAAAGCTTAAATTAGAGTGTTCTCTAAAGCCTCAAGCAGGTGCCGAAACCGGTTTGGCTCAGTGGTAGAGGTCTGCGGACTGAAGGGTCCCAGGTTCGATTCCAGTCAAGGGCATGTACCTTGGTTGCGGGCACATCCCCAGTAGGGGGTTTGCAAGAGGTAGCTGGTCGATGTTTCTGTCTCATCGACATTTCTAGCTCTCTATCTCTCTCCCTTCCTCTTTGTAAAAAATCAATAAAATAGATTTTTAAAAAATAAATAAATAAAGCCTCAAGCAGGTAATTAGGGACATAAAACTTATGTCAGCCATACTCTGAGCAAAACTGTTCTGCAAAATATTTGTGATTGCACATGGAGAGCTAATAAATGCATGAATCATCATGATATCACACAGCACATATGAGACACTGTAAAGATCAGAATTCTGAAAGCTGCAAGATCAGTTATATAATACTTTCAAGCCTTCTCCCCATGATTCTGATTCTCATTTTAACATTTTCTTACAATTATTTGGCTCTTCCTTTCTCAAGGTTCCCTACACTCATCTCCCCACCAGAAGAATTCTCATTACTTCTTCCAAAAATAGCTACTTTGATATGTACAGTTCTCCAAAATGCTCCCAAATACTAGAGAAGAAAGCAAGAAGTCTCTGTAGCTGCTAAAGAGATTAATCCTTAAAGAATGAGAAGTTATGAAATAATAACTGATATGAACATATGTTTAAAATTCAAACACCTGACCAAAGTAAGACTATTCCCATAGAGATTGGATTTATCCATTTCCTCTACTTACACATTCATTTCTTGCGTATTCTCAGCTGCAAAATAAAAGGTCTTGATCTGTGGATGGCTGATCTTGAAAGCACTTGAAGGGGAAAAGCACAGACACATACAAAATTAGTGCTTGTGGTCATCAGTAGGTTTGAAAATAAATCAGTCAAATATAACTACAGTAAGTGCACCTGCTTTCTTTGTAACTCTACAGAAAATAATTTAGTCACATTAAATATCCATTGTCTAATCTCTATTTCATTTCAAAAACAGAGGGTTAATCCATCATGTATGAACATCCACAATAGGACTGTATCTTAGCTGGTCACTGGTTCCTATTTAAAACATATGGACACATTCTTTCACTTTCATTTGCTAACTACTTTGCTATTGAGATAATACATTAAAATGTAGGGTGATAGAGGTGTCACTTCAAAATACTTAGGTCAACTCCTTCAAGAACAGTCTTAATTCAATCAAATATGTATGAGAATTCGTTTACATGAAAATAATCAAGCACAGAACTTGTGATAACCCATCAAAAATCTTATCCAGCCACTCTTTAGCACATAAAACATAGAGGGTAGACTTTTAGTTTCAAATAAAAGTTTAACACATTAAAGATAACAAATAATAAAGTGTTTCCCCTTTACCATTTAGACCGGAAATCCTACAGTAGAAGGCAAGGACATTTATAAAAAGTTTGGTCTAAACTACAAGAATCATCACAAACTCATGTATCACTGGATAGGTGCAGCTACACAGAATGGTAAGGACTTAAAGCTAGCACCAGTTTATTCATTTTCTTAGAAACAAGCAAATTAGCTGCTAATACTAATAACGTAATCAATAGGAAATACCCTTTTCTAACAAAAAAGAAAATGATGTCAAAGGTAGAAGAAAAAATAAGAAAAAGGTGAAGAGGACACATATGCAAAATGCAGCTGGATGCTGTCAAGAGCACCTGACTGGGAGGCTGGCTAACTGGTCTAGAGCCAGCCCTTTCATGAGTTCTAACCAAGACCAAACTTTCTGGGCTATTCCCTTCTCAATAAAACTAGGACCACGCCTGGTGACTGTTTTCCTATTTTTTCTCAAATCTTTGGAACTTAAATTTTATCAAGTTGTCATCCCCAAGTCTAAGACATCAAGAGAATTCAATTTCAAGATTTCTACTAAGAATGCTATTATAAACTAAGGAAAAGTAGGCTTGCCATAATATTGACAGCTCTGGAGAATCCTATTGAACTAGTCATTCTCTTCACAAGGACAAAACTTTGACATCTGACCTCCCGGCGAGTCATGGAAGGGAGCTTATTTTCAATTCTGTCAGTCAGTATGGTCAACAACATGCCATGCCAGAGCCCCAAGGGGTTTAAAATCCATCTGCTCCACAAAAAGCAATTCCTAAAAATAAGAGGTCAAAAGCTTCTATTATTGTTGAGGGTGCCAACCCATAAAGTTCAAAGGTCTCAGACATTGAGTGTCACTTTCATTAACTTCCCAATCACCCACGGAACTTTATGAAGGGATATCATCCTGGCTCAGAGTTTTGTGGGAAATGATAGACAACTTACTGCTTTTTTCTGCATTCAGATGCTTTCTCCACAGTGAAGTCAGGCAGGTTGACAAATCCATCCGCTTTTTCTGCCTGAAACACATGCATGCCACATATACATGAATCAGTGCCTTAGTTAGGTTATTGAGATTACATACAAGGAATAAAGAGAGCATAGATGAAATACAGGAGAATCAAAAGACACCTTCCTGAATCAGCACTGGACTTCTCCTACATGCACATTTTATTAGAGAATTGTGATAGTCTCCTGTAAAGTCATCTAGAACCTTCCATCAGTAGTAACATGGCGGCCATTGTATGGCACCCAAAGGACCTGCCCTGCCCCTTCCTCTCTTCCTAAGCCATCAGGGTTGCTTTCTGCTGAGCCTGTGTGCATCCTCAGCATCATTCCCATCCCACTACTCTAGAAAGCCACAGTCCATAAGATGAAATCTAATTGGCACTCCTATATGGTGGACAGAGGCTTGACGTTGGAGTTAGTAAACTGAATTTTATATCATAGATCTACAATTTACTGGTTTTTATATTACTTAAATAAGTCCAGGTAAATAAAACACTTAAAGGACACACAACAAACATTATTTCCTCTCCCAAGTCTATAGGAGGTTCCTTGAGGAATAAATCACAGAGTCAAAGCTGCTAAAATCTCAGCTCTATAACGGATCCCTAGGAGTTCTTTCTATGCAGAAAAGACTGCAGAGGAAAGTGGCACCTTTGAGACATCATGTGAATGCCACTTTAAAACATCAATATTTTTATAGCAAATGTAATCATCCTTTCACCTCTCTAAGAATTTGTTACTTTTTACTATATGGATAAAATTCAACTGTACCACAAGGCAGTGGCTAGATTGCTTATCACAGCTAGACCTCAAATATGTTTCCATCTACAACTGGTGTTGAGTGGAGAAGCATAGACCACAGGACTAAACATAAATGAGTCAGTGGTCATTAAGAGAGAAGCAAAAATTAATTTTGAAAATACAATCTAAATTTTTAAAATCAGCTTGCAATCAAATTTGCACCATGGGTGCTCTTACTTCCCTTCATCATCTGTCTCTTTCTCTTATTGCCAACTAGAATGCAACTTGCACTCTTTTCTTCAGGAAAATCAAACTGAAACATCCAACCTTTTGCCTGTCCCATCGCTCCTCTCCTACATGAGTTAATGTATGCAAAACATTTCACTTGAAATGCTTTCTTCTTATAAGACTCAAAATGCAATTCTAAAGGGAACTTTTTGGATGGACTTACCTGGGTGGTCGCATCATAAGTTCCCATCTAATCACTGTGTTGTATACTGGAAATGATGTCCATGTTGCTAAATCCCGCCTACCTTTATGAGCCCTCACTTAACTGAACTCTATAACGGGTACTTTAGCCTGCCCCCTCCACCGTGCCCTGCCTCAATGCCTTGCTTTTCTGACAACACATTTCGGCTGCTCCCTTGCCCTCTAACTACTCCTTGATCTCCTTCTATGGGTCTTTTTCTCCGGTCCATTTCTTAAATGTCACTGTTTCTCAGATTTCTGACCACAGACCTGTTCTCTTTTCATTCCACTTCTCTCTGTGGGAGATCACACACACTCCTCTGGCGGCATGTACCACCATTATATACACATATCCAAAATCTGTACTTCAAACTGGAATGCAACCCAGAAATCCTATCTCAGGGACCAGTTGCCCAGTTTACCTATTCATATGGGTACTCCAGGGGCTCCCTTTATGGACTGAATATGTCCCCCAAACTCCTAGTGTGATTTGGAGTTGTAGCCTTTGGGAAGTATTTGGAGTTCTCCAAATGGATGTGTGGTTTGCTCAGTTTTGCCCTGAAACTCCAGCACCTTGGAAACAGGCAAAGTCTGAATCCTAAGCACAGCTGCCCATTCTCATGTCACCTTAGAACAGTTGTCACTAAATTCTGATGGCACACACAGACTTATGACTGCTAGAGAAATATGAATTATAGTCTCTAAAACACATGCCTAAAATCAACTGAGATGGAAAAAAAAAAATAACAAAGCCAATTGGGACGGTTCTAGTTCTACAGAGAAACAGTCTCAGACACGGCTGGTGGTCACGCTAAAGGAAGGCAAAGGAAGGAAATTGGGCAATAATGAGCAAAACTGCATGGACCTTCTGACTCCACTGCTAAATGCTAAATATAATGATGTGCAATGACATGTGCATTGGAGCATTATTTACAACAAAAAAGACTGTAAAGAATCCAAGGGTCTATCATTGGAAGGGAATGAGGGTGGGGGGTTGTTAAATAAACTATGGCATCCACAGGCCAAAAATAATTATAAGAAAATGACATTGCACATAGGGCAATCTCCAGGACATGGCAAAAGAAGAAGCAACATACAGTGCCACAGATACAGTAGGCTAATTTTGTGGGAGAAAAACCGGATATGCCACAGTATACACACTTGCTTATAGCTACAAAAAGAATGAATGGAAAATGAAACAAAAGCAAAAAAGGGGGAAGGAAGAGGGTAGAGGAATAGGGAGGAAAGCAAGACATATCTGGCTGTAACGTGTAATATAGTGTTGACTTTGGAATTAGGGTAAATGATATATATTAATAAAACAAACCAAAAAGAGAAGCAATTCCTAAAATTAATAAAGAAATAGAAACCAATGAACCTAACTGAATATAAGCCTGGTGATGGAACTCCATAAATAATGACTCCAAGGGACCACCGAGCACAGAATTTTGACTATCCATAGTGGATATAACCTAAGACTTTTAAAGTGACATTGCTATTATTTTGTATATAATTTTAGCAGTTTTTCCCTCTCTCCTTCCCCCCAAAATTGCATTTAATCTAAATGTCCCTTCCTCCCCTCCCTAGGACACAGTCCACGATGACACTGCTTTGTTCTGTCGGATGTGCACTCTTCCCTTTTGAAAAGGAAGTAGGCACATTACACACCAAGGCAACCTACACTCTACACATACTGCTGGCTACCAGGCAGAGGGTTGAGCTTATTAGCACGGGGCACTGAGAAATAAAAATGATGTTTTGTTCTGTTTTGTTTTCTTCTAGGTATCAGAAGCAGACCTGGCAGTGAGAATGCCTGAAGTCCCTTTAAGAACTATAATCATCTTGACTAACATCTAATAACAGATAACAGTTATTGAGCGCTAAGCATAGTCCATTGAGGTAACACTATCTTAACCTTCAGAAGAAAATTAATCAACATCCAAGTGCCAGAATTTACAAAATGATTGGTTTCTGACTGAGACAACTACCAGATGGGCATTATAAAATGGGCAAGTTGTGTGGTATTATTGAAGTGATAGACATCTCAGACCAGAAGCCAGAACTCAGTTAAATAATTATAAGCATGAGATTGAAAAACGTCTTTAGTCACAACTAGGAGCTAAAATAGAAGAGAATTTGCAGTCAGTGGACGGCACAAAGAAAGGACCATGGATTTGGTATCAAGTGTCTGAATGTAAGCTACCTACTATGTGATGTTAGGCAGAGCACACAGTGAGAAAGCAGGTAGATCCAGCATCTCAAGATGAACTCGATTTCACATAGATGTATATAATACTGTTAAACTGTTAAAACTATTTAAAAAAAACTAAGGTTTCATTATTTCATTATCTAATAAGAAACGGACAAAGGAGTGAAAAGAAAGCAAAAGAGAAGGAACGTCCCAGGAAGACAAAAGTGAAATAACGTAGGTTTTCCACTCTGTCCATTGTCAGCTGAGCCCTCTGAACAACTGCTGTGTCTCTCAGCCTTCCCTGTCCTCTTTGCATCAGACTCATCACAAAAATAAATATTTTAACTTCTTTAGAGAACAAAAATGCCAGTATGCTCACCATAGCCTTCATACATTACTTAGGGGATTTTTTTATTAAACTACTAGAGACCTGGTGCATGAAAATTCATGCACTGGAGGGGGGGTTCCCTCAGCCTGTCCTGCCCCTTCTCACAGTCCAGGAGCCTCAGGGGCAGGAGGTGATCCGGTGATCAGGGGAAGGTGACAGTCCTTCACACCTCTGCTGCTGCCTTGGTGCATCGGTTGATGCTCAACTACTGAGCTACACTGACCAGGCATTAAAACAATTTTTAAAGATGCTACTCCAAAAGTCATTATTTTCAGTAAAGGATGAAAACGCATTTGCCACGTAAGTTTCATAAGTATAAAAACGGTGGTTAATGTGCTACTGATGGTATTGTTTCTCACCCCCCAGTGACAGCTGTTTCTCACCGTTCTGTTGAAAAGACAGGAAAGAAGACCCAGAGAGGTTGGCGGGTTGCCTGAGGTGTGAAGGCTGCAGCATCAGGTGGAACCTGTCCTCCTGATTGGAACCCAGGGATACCTTAGACTCTAGCAGGTCATTTCCTTGTGTCTTTTGGGAAGATGTTGTTTCAAACAGATTCCCTTACATTCTGACTCCTTTAAAATGTACTCAAGCCCTAGCCGGCGTGGCTTGGTGGATGGAGCATCGGCCTGCTGACTGAAGTTGTTCCAGGTTCGATTCTGGCCAAGGGCACATGCCAGGGTTGCGGGCTCAATCCCCAGTGGGGGATGTGCAAGAGGCAGCTGATCAATGATTCTCTGTCATCATTGATGTTTCTATATATCTCTCTCCTTCTCCCTTCCTCTCTGAAATCAATAAAAAAATATTTTAAAAATTAAATAAGATGTACTCAACTTTCAAGAATTTCTGCTGCATAGCTTCCTTTTGAAGTGTTCTCAAAGTATGCTATCAGGGAGGCTAGCACCAGCAGCAAGATGACAGATGAGTTTATCAATGAGCTGGTCTGTGGGAGCAGCTGGGCCTTTGCCCCTTACGAAACGTGCTCCAGAAGGATGATAAATCCCATGTAATGACTTCTCAGAAAAATCCTCAAATCCAATCCAAAGTTCAGCTCATCCCAGGGGCCACTTCTCATGCTATTGCTTGAGAAATGTACACTCATCCCTCATCACTCAGTCAGGAGTTACCTGAACTCTCCTTCCAGGTTAGCAAACACTGTGCTGAAGAATCCCCCAGGGCTGTCTAGCTGACGCCCCTGTCTAATGCCTTACAATCAAGCACAGGAGAAGCCACTGTTGCCCAAAGAAACCGTATCTGGTGTCTGAAGACCCTTACCACAATTCTTCTGCCTCCTGAAATCACAATATGATGTAAGCACATTCTACCTAAAGCATATCCAAAATTGCCTTTCTCTGTATGCCTTTGATCTTTTTTATGTTGTTTTAAGAACCATGTGATCTTCTCAAAGACTCTCTGAATTTTGTAGAGATAATGTTCTTGTCACAGTGTACTTGTAAGGAAATGGATGCAGAGCGTCATATCACTGACCAAAGGGTTTACAGCTGTATAAGAAAACGCAGAACTAGAATCTAGGTGACATTTCTCCTTTATACCAAGCTAACAAAATCCACCTTCCTGCCTGCTAGCTGTAACGAAGTTTGGAAATGTCACAAAATGTTTTCAGTGACCACACCAAGGGGGTAGGATCATGACTAACTGAAACAAATAGATTATCTTAATTCACTTATTTATTTCTGTCCATTTGTCTCCCTATCTTTTTCATTTTGCTTAAGTACATGTTCCAGCTTTTCTAAATGAACACATATCATTATGCAATATTTTAAAACAATTTTAAATTCATTTAAATGTTCAAGAAACAAGACACGATGGATTGCACCAAGCTGAGACAGAGTCAGACAGAAGTTATGGCATCACGAGGGAAAGCACTAGGCACTGCCCAATCACTGCCGTGCACCGGGAGGGTGGGCCTGGGACACAGCCAAGCCCACATCCTTCGCTCTAGCATCATCCCCCAAAGCAGCAAGCATGTCCTTGCCTCCGGAGAACCAAGACCTGAGGGATGGCATAGTCGTGGTGTTTCACAATTGCTTTTGAAACGTTTGGGAAAAAATATAAAGGAAAGCAAATTGGCAACATAAGCAATTGCTCCCACATTCTATGAATTTAGCAAGTAGGAGTTACTAGAAACTGCCTGCCCCAACAACAGGCTGGCCTGCTCATAAAACTATGATGGGAAACCATTATTTTAGAAATGCATTCTGGGAACTACCGAGGAAAATAAATATCAGGACATAGGGATAGCATCATAGACAACCTACAGATGAAGGCAAATGGCCACTTCCAAGACTGTCTCCGCATACCTGCAATGATAATGAGGGAAGTAAGAGAATGTTAAAGGTCCGCCATCACTCCTGAGTTCGGACTTTAAGTGAACGGCTCACTGACAGCTGCCAAAGCATCATTCTGCCCCAAGTAGTCCCTATGTCCAAGTTCTCAGCACCCTGCCTCTGGTGTAGGGTGCCTCAAGTTTTCAGTTTCCATTCTAGTTCAGGAGTTCATGGCCCAAGGCCTGCGTTTTGTCACCCTCTCCCACTGGCCTGCAGAAAGCTCCTTTATTCTCCAACATCTCCCGTGAATGAGTGCTACGTTCATATTTTCACATGCCAATTTCATTAGGTCAGCTTCTGATCCAAGAATAGATGGTGGGGATCCTATATTCTCCCTCCTGGATCCAATCCACATCCCTGCACTGTATGCGTCAGGCCCCATTCACTGCCCCTGGCTCACCTCTACATGTTCTACAGTTGAAACCTGGGTGGGGAGGGTGGGGAAGTAGGAGAGATATGGGTCAGGAAACTCTCACGAGCCAGTAAATGAATTTGTAATCTATCCTAGGGGTAAGGGAAAACAATTGTGTGGATTTCAAACCCAGGATTTTAAACAGCATGAATTTTTACGGCTATTAAACTTGTATCTGCTTTTGTACGACTTGGAATACATTCTTGTGTGCTGTATCACATGTAAGCATGTAATATGAGGTGAGAAAAATGGCAGATGTGTGTCTGGACTTGGCCTTTCTCAAGGAAGTCTAGCTAGTACTGTTTGAAGCAGCAAAGCATTGTGAAAAAAGAAGGTTTGCCACGAGTCAATTCCTGGGTGACGGCAATAACAAAAAAACAAAAAACAAAAATGCTGAGAGAGGGGAGGAGGCGGTGGTCTCCCAGGCGCTGTCAGGGAACAGTAGAGACAACCAAAGGGGTCCCATGAGGTCACTTGCACTTTCTCAGGAGAATGACCCTAAATTTCATTTCTAGAGTTGTTCTCTCAGAGCCTTATGGAAGGAGGAAATGAGGTGTCTAATCGTGTCACCTGCATGCAGTCAGATTTGCATATGACAACCATCCTGGGCTAAGGATATTGCTCTATGACACAGTCACAGAATTAAGGAGCTGGAAAGGTCCTTCCATCACCTACCACTAGTTTAACAGGATAATTCTGTTGCCAGGTAACAACACATTTATTCTCTATTCAATGTTGCTGATCTAACTCTATTCAAGTGCAGGATTTGCTACCTGAATATCACTCTATATGCATTTGCAAGAGGCCCGAGGTGCTTGAGTATGTCTGATGCTCTCTCCTCTTCCTCTTTCTAATCTGGCCTCAGCCAACTCTGCTGCTCCCTGTGGAGGCACGAGATTCCTAATGCCCAAAATAGTAATTCATTGCTTGAGCCCAATGAGCTGACGAAGCCAAGTAAACAAATCCGTGACTGTGTGCTGTTCAGCAGGGGCTTCCTTTCAGTTCTATAAAGATTAGGACAGCACCCGGGATGTCTCTGCTGAATAATTTGATCGGATGAGAAAATGAATGCCACGTTTCTATCTGAGTGTTGCTATTCCCCACAGATGCACCATTCTCCACCAGCACCCAATCCTCCCAACAATCTCTGGGAATTCCTGGGGAGCTATTAAAATGGAAATCAGTAAGTCCTCTCATTTTATAAAGGATACAGACTCTCACTTGCCACAACTACCCAAAAGCAAAAGCCTAAAATAATATGAAACAAGAGTTTGAAGTTCAGTATTTGTTTAGGAAAAATCCCTTAGGATAGCAGGTGAGACCCCAGTTCCAGGTTGCCCTAATTTGGGGAAAGAAAGAAGAAAGAAAGAAAGAAAGAAAGAAAGAAAGAAAGAAAGAAAGAAAAAGAAAGAAAGAAAGGAAGGAAGGAAGGAAGGAAGGAAGGAAGGAAGGAAGGAAGGAAGGAAGGAAGGAAGGAAGAAAGAAAGAAAGAAAGAAAGAAAGAAAGAAAGAAAGAAAGAAAGAAAGAAAGAAAGAAAGAAAGAAAGAAAGGGAGAACCCAGGAGGGCAGAAGAAAAGAGAGAAAAGGAGATAGTGGAAAATTGCATGTTTATCAAGGTGACTCTTTGTGAACCTCCCAAATCTTTGATCAAGTTGTTAAAACTCACAAAAGGCTTGAGGAAATATATTTTCATAGAACTTGAAGAATTTTATAGCATGTTTTGCACAGGGGTGTCAGAGGGGAGTACAGAGAGAAACACAAGGAAGAATGCGTACTCCACCTCATTATAATTGGATTTGAATCCAGTTCAACCTATTCCTTATAGAATGGGTGCCAGTGAATGAATGTGAATTTATCAACTAAAAATTTTGCCAACAAACCATGCACAGAACTTATTTTACATTTATAAAATTACATGCTCTAATACTCTGTTGCTTGCTCTACGGCATATACAAGTTACTTTTAAAGAATGGCATCATATACAAATAATTGTCCTTAGCTGATCAAAGGATACCCATTGCTGACTTCACTTTACCCCCAAAACAAACTCAAACTTTGCTGAGATTAGCCATTGGCTACTCCAAGGTTAATGGAGAGGGTTAGCACACTCATTCAAATCTTCAACAACATCGTTTTCAAAATGTCTCAAGCCAGAAAGGATCAGCACACCTTCTAACCATAACTTTATTCCTAGCCCTTTCCAAACAGAAAACTAGCCTGTGGAGAAAACCACAAAAGCACACTGCCTCGGAATGAGAGATCAGACAACTCTCCTATCAAGATTGTCCAAGCATAATTTCATACCATCACTGAGCATGCCAAGGAACAAGACACAACAGTCACCAACGCAGCACTGGCTCACAGGTTAGCGATTCCAAAACCAACCCGTCTAATAAAGAAGGTCAGAGGAGAAGATAGTCAAGGAGGAGAAATGAAAATAGGGTCTGTGGACTGGCACCCCTAATAGTTCTTAAAGCTGAGTCCCTTTTTTGTAGAGACTTTAACAGTGTATATTTCCCATATCCAATGCTGTCCACTTAAATCCTGAGATGATTGGAATCTCTCATAGAATAGTAACACTCATAGACACGGAAAGTCTCCTTTGTAAGGACACGCATTTGGATGGCCTTCTCCAACCGAAGCTAAGTCAGCCAAGCAGCGTGGCTTTCTCTTCCGTACAACACAGGAGAATGACCTATATGTGTATTGACCAGAAATGGTTTCTAGAATTTGTTTATTCGCTCTGGTCCAAGTCCCAGAAATTTAAAAAAAAAAAAAAAAAAAAAAAAGTAACTTTCCCAATGGGATCATGGGCTCAACAAGGATCTTCAGCTCAGCTGTGGTGAGAGAGGCTGGGGCTGGGAGGGGGAGTGGACTCACCAGTTGATTGCTGTACCAGTAGAGGGAGGACGCCTTCAGCACCACCCAGACCTTCTTCCATTTGTTGCTCAGGAACGTTCCTTTCTCCTTTTTCTTGTAGAGCCACCCTTGGCAGTCCGCGTGGCCCAGGTCTTTACACGATATTCTCCTCCGGCTCATCGTGAAGAAACCTGCAATGGTTACATGGAAAGATGGTCACGTATCACCCCGACGAATATGACCGAGAAAGGAAACTTCATTGTTTACCTCCTGGGAGTTGGGCTCTTTTTCAACCAAGATTTATGC